AAATCTACTCAGACATAGTTGAGAGATTCATAACAGCAAGGTAATAATAGAGATTCATTAGATTAAAAGATTGAACTTTTGGTTCTTGGAACAACAAATCTCTTTGTGTGTTTCTTCTAAATCTAGAATTCTATAACCTTTAAGAAATTAAGATGAAAATAAATACTTTATTGCTAAGTATAGAATAGAACAAAGTAAAAAAAGCACTAGAACAATTAAAAAGCATTCAAAAGCATGTCTAGCCAAACACAATGACAAAAACTATAAATATGAGTTCCATTAGGTTAAAAACTCATCAGGGGCATTATTGTAATATTGGGAAGACTTGGGCTTCAAGTCGGCCAAGTCGGACTTGTTCTTCACGCATCATATCGATCGATGGTACATGGTGTACATCGATCGATGGAGTATCTCGACTTCATCTTCTATGGAAACGTCATCGATCAATTACACAGAGTGTGTATCGATCAATATGTATCATTGTTGTCTGATCTTCATAGTCATCTCGGAAAACTCTCCTTTAAGCTCCAAAAGGGCACCTAAATCATCACTTTACTCCAAAATGCTCATGAACCTGAAAACATACCTAATAGACTCCAAAACATATATAAAACTTATAAAAACATAACAATACCATGGCTAAAAGCGGGTCAAAATCATGGTATATCATTGGCTATCGTTCTAGTGGAGAATAAAGTCTATTGGGAGTGTTTTACGGAGTTGTTGCGAGAGGATTTGAGCTTGGAACTCGGAAATTCTCTAACGCTGTATTCTGATCAGCTAAAAGGCTTGATTTATGCCATCAAGAATGTGCTGCCCTATGCAGAACACATGATGTGTGCTAGACATATTTTCACAAACTTGAAGAAAAGACATGGTCAAGTGGATCAGTTGCATAAGCTCTACTGGAAGTGTGCTAGATCTTATAATAAGCATGTATTCAACAAAAATTTGGAGAAGATGAAATCAGTCAAATCTGAAGCTTATGAAGAAGTGAAAAGAAGTATCAGCTCAAACTGGTCAAGGTATGAATCTGAAACACATTACATTTTTTTATTATATGTGTTGCTGAGTACTTGTTTATCTCTGATTGCAGGGCTTTTTCAGTGATGTTACAAAGTCACCTGCTGTTGAAAACAATATCAGCGAGTCTTATAACGCTATTTCGAAAAATGCCAAGTGCAAAACAATAATTTCATTGCTAGAGGATATTAGAAGGCATGTGATGTCAAGTAACTTAGTCAAGATCAATGAGATTGAAAAAGTTACTGGGCTCATTACACCCAAGGCCTTAGCTATCATAGAGAAACGAAAGAAGAGTCTCGCGTGGTGTCATTCATTTTCAAATGGGAGAGGCATGTATGAGGTTGATCATGGAAGGAGCAAGTACGTAGTTAATGCTGGTGGTGATGTGTCTTGCACTTGCAGGGCGTTCAAGGTAAGTGGCATCCCTTGCTGTCATATAATGTTTGCAATGTGGGTCGAGTACAAAGATGCAAGACTGCCCGAGACTCTGGTTCAGATTGGTACTCTGTTGAGAAGTGAAAGCTTTGTTACAAGTCTCTTATTTTTCATGTGAATGGGATGGAGATGTGGGAGACACATAGCGATGTAGTTGTAATGCCTCCTCCGGATAGAATTATGCCGGGAAGGCCAAAGCACAATAATAGAATCTGTGATCCAAGCGAAGGAACGAGCTGTGATCCAACTCAAACCGAAGCTTCTAAACCCGAGACTACTCAACCTGAAGACAACGTGCCTGAAGTACAAGAATTACTGCATGAAAAGATAGTAATGATAAAACATCTCTTGTTAATGGTTATTTTTTAGTTGTTTGCTAATGGTTTTCTGCTGCTCTTTTCACTTGCATAAATGTTCTAAATGTGGTCAAGCTAACCATAATAGGCGAACATGCACGAAGGAGCCAGTCAACCCGCCTAATCCAGCTAAACCACCTTCAGAAATTCCTTCTGCCCATGCGAATGTTATCGTGGTAATCATTACTAAACTTGTTACAATTTTTTTTTGTTATTCATATGTAAGTTGGGTTTGATATGTTGTGTTCTTTATATATAGACATGTGTAATTGTCGCTATACCGGTCACAACAAATGAAAATGCAAGCTGCCTCCGGTTCCTAAGCCACCTAATATACCACCAGAAAGACCCTCGAAGAAACTGAAAACAGTGGGTGCACTTGGAAAGACAATGGATGCACACAGCTAGATATCATATGCATCGGCTAAGATTTATTTTGTTGCAAACTCATTTTCTTATTTGATTATCCATGTAAACTTGGTTAAGGTCTTACGAGAACCATATATATTTAGGACTTTTCATGTCTTCCTAAAACCATATCTTTTTTTTTTTTGAAACACTAGAACCATATCTATTTAGGATTTTTCAGGTATAAGTAAGACATAACTACTAAGGAATTTCATGTAAACTCGTATTATCATGTCTTTTGGTGTTTTTATCTCTAGAGCACCAATAATATGAGTCTTTTAAAATTACTTAATGTCAATAATTAAGCAACAACAAATAGCCACTAAAAAACACGAACGTAAGACACCAATAACATATCTTTTAACAACTACAAGTAAGAACAAAATTTTGACCAAAAGACAACAATCTACGGAAACTAAGACTCCAAAAACAGTTCTATAACTTTTTTTTTCAGTTCTAAAACTTAGCTCTTATAATCTCATTATGTCTTTCTTCATATCAAAAAAAGTCTTGCTTCAGCTCCACATGACACTTTCTGGGTATTCCATGACCTAAATACATTGTGATTATGCCTCAAATTATCAATTTCTTCACACTACAAATCAATAGAGTATCAAAATATAAAATCAGAAATAGGAAATCCCACACTAAATTCAAAACAGAGGATTAGAAATCAAAATATAGAACTATCCTAACGTACCTGAACGAATAAATGAAGAAGATTAAAGATCCAAGGAAATTCAAAAGAACCCTAATATTTTGATTTGGGTTTTTTTGGTCTGGGAAGAAAGAGGAATAAGTTACATTTTTTTTAGAAGCCCTAAAACGCAGCCTTTGAACTGAACGATAAAAACTCATTATCTTTTAACGTTAGTGTAGACAGAGGGGCTAATACATTAAAAATGACTTAAAGGATTTTTACTTTATATACTTAATTGAGAGGTTTTTACCCCATCTAAACTTACTTATAGAGTTTTAAGATTAAAAATCTTTTTTTTTTGCTTATTTTATGAATTGTAACACTGGGATAATAGGGACATTTTATTATTTAGTAAATGTCGTTTCGGTGACTTTCTCTTTCTTGTGCCATTTTTTAGATAAAAATTTCAAAAGTATTATTTTGGTCAATTGTTCATTAATGAATGCATTTTTGTGATTTTTTTGGTATTATTTTGGAGAAAAAAACTTTAAAAAGGTTATTATGATGAATTTACCTTTGAAAATATGACGCATATGAAGATTTGTTAAGGATATAGTGATTTATTTATTTTTTGTTTTGTGGAATAAAATTGTAGCCATTCCCTAAAGGTAAAGACTGTAAAGTTTGATCCTTAGAATCTGAAACCGGGTGGGTCCGTCCAGGAATCGGGTCAGCATCCTCGGGTTCCCGCTCTGTAACCACACCAACTCTTCTTCATTTACTCCCTCCAGAGTCCACAATTCTATTTCTTAACATACACTGCGAAGGGAGGGTCTCTAATCTGAAGAGCCCCCCCCCTGATAAATGGAGAAGGCCAGAGTCATCACAATTTCAGAGCTAGTCAACGAAGGCCGTGCCGTCACAGGTGCATCGTCCCTATTCTATTCACGTCCCCGTACCGCCGTCGATTCGAAGTCAAGCCGTAAATTTCTGGCACCGTTGAAGTACCCGGCGGTCATCGTCGGGACGCTATCTCTTCCTTCGGAAACCCTAAAATGTCCGAATCGCTACTGCTTTCGGTTCACAGACGGCGCCTTGACGATCTGCTGCGATATCATCGGTTTCCAAATTCGCGCCATTGGGAGTAAGATGCGTGTTCTTTCCTGGAATTTCATTCCTATGAAGAAGCATCGCGGTGGGGTTTTGGAGATTATCAAGTGGAGATTCGTGGAGGATACTGTTGAGTTGCTTTCTCCGTGGTGTTCGTTTCCTTTGGTTCGGAGCTCGGTAGAGAATGGTGGTGGTATGTCACGGTATAGCGTCCGTGGTGTGTTGGAGTCTGTTAGCCCTGTGTCTGTTGTTCCTTTGGGTTCTCATGATTCTGTCAAGGGTTTTTTAGTAAAGTTAATGGCTTGTGAGTGTAGACGGAAGGATGTGTTGGATTCGATTGATTGTAGTCACTGTTTTGATAAGTCAGTCTTCGTTTACTTCTGTGGTTCAGTGGCTGCGGGTTGGCACCCTGCCATAGTCAAGCTAGTTGGAAGCCACATTGCTCTATCCGGGATGAAGAAGAAGTTGGTTTATATAAGCAAAAGTGATCCTCTGTTGGTCTTTGTCACCACTGAGAACTCTCTTCTTCATTCACCTTGGATTTCTAAGAAAGATGATTTTTTCAAAAGTGTTGTTGATGGGCTAGGTAACTGCGGTTCCTACCTTGGATTTGTCAACGGCCTCTACTTGAAAGGGAAGCTTGTTGAGCTGGATGAAGATGTCTGGCTTTTATTGACGGATCAGATACATAACAGATCACACAGTATCCGAACTGGTTCCCTTGTAAGAAATTTCCTTTTTGCTCTCACTTTAGTCTGTGCTTCTTATTGTTTGCCTGTAAGCATCTGAGAAGTTAATTTATCTGTGCTGTTTGAGATCTTTGATTGTTTTACTTTCTTAGTGCAGATTTTTGTCAGAAATGTTCATTTTGTGAATACTAAATTTTCTTGGGGAAAAGTGCTTATACTTGGGGCATGTTTTAAGACCAGCATCACAGTTGAAATTTTTTCACCTTTTGAAACGAGGTATGGTTTTGTTACAAATCACTCAACCATGGATGCTTTCTCATGTCTGGAGATTTATTCAGCTGGTCCTTCAGTTGTCTTGTAGATTCATGTTTCCAGACATCTCTGAGTCGTTTCCTTGACTCTTTGTCTTTTCCTGCAAGATTTTGGTACTTTTTCTCTCTGATGTTTGCAGCAATATATTAAGCCCGTTCTAGTTTATGACTCTTGACTGATATAGCTGCAAAACTATGCTTCATAGGACACTACTTGTTAGTTCATGCTTCCAGAACTTTGACGGAATCCCATCAGACAAGGAAAGCTTGAGATCATGCCAGGTAACTAACTGAAAGCAGGCTTGGTTCTGTGTTTTTATTCTCGCCTTTCTCCCTGTTATCTATGGCCTTTCTCATTTTTATGAAGTGTTATCAGGAGGATGAACTGACAAAGATGTATGCAGAGTCACGAATATCACCATCCATGTTTCAACCTAGGGTAAATTGGTATATTGAAAATTTACAATATATACATAGCTTTTTATGCTCTTCTTAGGGTAATAATCATGCTCGTCTATTTGATTATATCCGAAACTTTGAAATTCTCAGTGCGGACTTTTTACTGAATTCTGCATGCATGAATCTTGCGGATGCAATAGTGAAGCTCGTGATTGCAACCTAAAAATGGTAAATCTATTCATTTGTAGACTCTGGTTAGACTGGAACAGTTTTAGCTACATGATTATTTTCAGATCTTGTAATATTAGTTCCACCCTTTTGGAAAAACAGGTCATGCCTATCTCAAGTTTTGTCCATCATTACAAGGTCTTGCTGGATGAATTGCTTTGTCGGATTAAGAAAGATGACACCCAGATTATTGCTAGTAATTGCTTAAGTCATCCATCATTAATTCAGAAAAGATACGGTCATACAAATGTAAAGATTCAAAAAAGTGAAGATATTGGTGTTATCTTGCTTGGAAGATTGAAGGTATACTACTCGTAATATGCATATACTGTGCCATCGGTTACCCGTTTGAAAGTTGTTTTTAATTTATTGAGATGTCGGTGGACTTGTCACCTTGATAGGGTGAATATATTTACTTAGTATCTATTTGTATATATTTAACACGGTTTCTGTTTTCCTCTATTTGTACACTTGTTTAGCTGTGACATTAGCACTCTTTTATATAGATTTCAGCTTCTGGAATACTACAGTTGCAAGACAGAACTAGCAGCATTAATGTTCTGATGCCAGACCTTCTAAGTGATGGACATTCCTGCAGGATATATGAGGTTAGTAAGTACTTCAAACAGCATTTGAATATACAGAACTCGTTACATTCAATTTCTTATCTTTTACTCATTATAGGTTTCTGATTACGATCTCATTATGGAAATGCCTGAATCAATGCCCCACATTCCGTTTCTTCAAAAGCCACTTCACTGTAAAATTTTGGTTGATCCCACTACATTGGCCAGAGAAAACACCTTGACAGTGCCATTTTCTCTATCGTTTGGTGCTGCAAGCTGTAGAACTGTTCTTGTGGATCAGTCTATTGACTGGAGGCATGATCTCAATGAGTTCAAAGGGGGAAGGTTTCACCTATTTAGGGTGACCCATAAATTTCCATTTCTCAAAAAAGTATGCTCTTATATCTCAAAAAGAAATCTCCATATTGTCAATATTATTTATTTGTTTGCTTCAAGAAAAAGAAGCCGTTGTTTATGCTACTAATTTAAATAAAATTCTTAACTTATATTATTATTTAACTTCCACCAGGGTCTTCCAGGAATGCCTGACTGCACCAGTGTTTTCATTGAAGCTGTAATCATTCCATGGGAACTCATTTGCACTGTGACCGAAGACGGCGTAGCGGCTCCCCAGTTTGATAAAATCACGACCTCCAAAGAAGAACATCCACATAAGAGATGTAAAACTAATAATTCATTAGGGAGGGAAAGAGTATTGTCTGTACTGCATGAGATTTCATGCGACATGACCATCCGATGTGCAAGTAGTCACTGTTCGGTCATAGCAGCAACCCTGTCTAATTTAAAGGAAAAGAAAAGTGGTAACATGGGCAGTGTGAAGCGTGTGCTGTTAGAATTCATACCTGAATGCAAAAACTACAATGTAAGTGTTGCGTTGCTATTGACAATAACATTGATTCTCGTAAAACATGCAGGCTGCACAAAAAAATGATTATCTAAATTAAATGATGCTTTTGCATTGTTACGGCAGGGGTTGCAGGTTGGCGGTTGCTATTTGATGAAGCATGGCATTGACGATTCATTTTGTTTGGGACGGTCTAGCATATCTAACAATGATAAAATCAATATTAGACCCGAATCACGTTTCTGGAGTCTAAAATTTTCTTTTGATGAAGTTTTAACCCATGATGGATCTATGGATGTATATCCTCTCGTGTCTTCCCAACCATCTCCTGCGGTGGAACAACGAGATTTTTCTTGTCCACAACGTTTTTCAGGTGTTTCGCTTCTTCTCCCTTATGATGCAAAAATTATCTTCTCAGCATATCTTAAGGACTTGGACGAAGTTAATAAGCCAGTCGCAGCTGGAAAAGATATAGATAATACTCAGGGAGAGATTACCATGTATGCAGAGCCGTCTCGGCCACCTATTTCCAACAGCTTGTTTCCTGAGGGAAACCTAGCAACTTTTAGAGGTGATGTAGTAGCGGTTGATGCTGCTGACTCGAGTGTCATCAGCAGCTATTGCATTCATGTTCGAGTCGATTATCAAATTGTGAGTGCATATTATACTCTTTTCTCTGTGCTATCTTCATTCTTGTAACTCTCCTTAACGATGTGTTTCAGGTGAAGATTTTTGGTCCACTTAGAAGGCATTCATATCTCACTGGATTTGGCCCTGGGGTGAATGCAACATTCTACCGGATTCTTGGAACAAGGTATTGTACATAAATAACAGCCTTTGATAAATTGTTTTTTCAGTAAGCAACGAACTCATCTTTAGTCTCTTGAGTTATTGTTTTTGTAGAGAGGCAAACAGGTTTCTATTGTCATCAGCATCTTTTGTCAAAATAAACTCACGAAAGGCATTGGATGGTCCAGCGTTAGACGAACCTACTCATCAAACTCCTATGGGTCTGCCTAAAATTAGACCTCAGGTATCCTCAAGACACAAGGATAATCGGCAAATTAACTTTGTCTGCAAGGTAATCTTGTGATGGATTAGCAAAGTTTCTTTCTAGTTTCATTCATGTGTATTGTCTTAAAGGCCTCCTTTCTTTATATATATTATTTGATGCAATAGGTTCTTTCAGTTCATCTTCTGGTTCTCGAAGCAGGATCTGATGAAGACTTATATGGGGAAAATATGGATATACCGCTTGCAGGATTTGTGGTAGGTAAGTCACACTTTATATTGCCAGAAAGAGAACACTGAGCCTAATTAACTGGAACATTCGCGTTTTTGTTTTCTTTTGCACTCTTAAAATTATTAACCTTATTAAATTATCCTACTTATATGACTGATCATTGAAACAACTGCTAATTCTTAGAATTTCTCTTATTCAGTCTTCAACATGTAGACCATACTGACGTTCACTATGTGTATAACATCTTTCTACGAGTTTCTCAATAAGCTCTATGTATGTGTTTAATACTGAAAGGCAGATACATATAAAGTTGTGTACGAGACTATATATTTATGCTTGCTTCATCTTCTGTCTTACTGAAAGGATACTTCAGATTCATTTTATGCTCCTGAGTAGCCGTTTGAAACTTGAGAACGTGTCAATTGATAAATTGGTTAATAATACATGCGTGTGTATTAGATACACCTGACTACCCATTGTTTCTCCTTTTTCACGAATTTCACTCTTCCTTATTTAGATGACGGATCATCAACTTATCTTTGCTGGACGAGTGGGGAAACAGCGTTTACATTTCTTAGGCTACACGAAGAGTTGCCTGACAACGACATTGATGTGGCCCAGTGGATCAGAAGCGACAGCAGCCGGAGCACAATAGCTTCCCATCTTGAAAAAATTGTTTGGGTTCACAAGAGAATAGTGATAAAGGTCAAAGGATCACAGAATGATGGACCCTTTCAGTGCGTCACCATTGATGTTGCTTCACGACAACTTCTCACCCAGTCAGAGGATAATTTCCTCAAGTGGTTGATACTAAATGCCACTACCGGCCCCATGTGGGTACGTTTAACCTTCTTTATCCTCCTTGATTTGATTGCGTTTTCATTGTCCTAGCTGGAGAGGTCGGAGATTGTTTATTTTTCTGTAGGCTAATCATATTACTGAGCTAATAAGACTATTACAACACTTATACTCGATATCCTTGCATTGTTTCCACTTGTGTTTCAAATTTTTTGAGTAGAACTAAAACGGAGTCTCCTCTTCTATTTTCTTTATTCTGGTTTACGCAGCATGTTACGGCGAGCTCAATGGACAAGAAAATGATTCAGCATGTGGAGAGAGAACAGTGTGTGGAGATGGAAGCTTCAGGGCTTACTCTGCGGAACGTTTGGGGCAATGAAATATGTAAAGTGAATACGTTGGCCCGAGCTTGGAGCTTACTCCAAGGTTTACTAAATACTTTATCGTGATTTTTCTTCCAGGACAATAAATCAGCCCGAAATCAATTCTTTTATTTTAGTTTAAGTTTTTATGGTTTATTCATTTTAATTTTTTTTTTGTTGACGTTCATTTATCGGATTCAATCCCCTATATATTATTTGAGAATCATTTAAAAAATTGTAACCTTAAGTTTGTAAGAATTAAAAATAACTCAAATCCTATGTGGCATATCTCTTTGGCTTCTATTTTAAATCTCAAGGATTCTAGAGCATGTGATATAATGTATAGTCTAAAAATTATATTCTCTAGCAATATAATATTTCATAGACTATAGTTGGTCGCATATATCAAATATTATTGTTTCGCATGCTTTCCTTAAATAAAAATTATAAAACCTACGGAATTAACTAATGTGATTAAAATATATATGACAATTAATGATTTTAAACAATAAAGATTTGATAACAATCTGTATACTTTTTCTCATTTTGTTTATTTATTTATTATTAAAATAAATTACACAATTACATTAATCATATAATAAAAATTTAGGTTTTTTTTTTGTGTATGTTGTATTTCGAATTTTTCAAAATGAGTATAAATTACTAAAACTGTTAAAAGTAAACTTTTAGGATCAAGGTTTAATATTTTTCTATATTAAAATATAATGATTATAAGTCCATATGAAGAAATAATTTTTAGTTTATATATATATATATATATATATATATATATATATATTATATCTTTTTAATTAAACTATAAATCGTATGAAAATACATACTTATATTTTGATATTTGTCTTCAACATATATTGAAAAGTTAATATTTTATTTTGAAATATGTCATTGTGTTTTTTTAAATGATTATAAATTATTGAAACTACTAAACATCTCACATTAAAAGAAAATCGTTGGTGTAAAGCTTTGTTACACAAATATGCAAATAATCATAAAATCATATGAGTAGAAACCTCATTTAATAAATATCAATATTAAAATGTGTCATATTACTATGTTTATGTCATTTAAATTTAATTATATATCATATACAATATATGAGATTGATTATTTTGATTTATTTACGCTAATTGCGAATAAACAAGAGTGATAGTTAAATTTATATGCATATGTCAATTTATTACATAATAGTGACTGATTTCTTAGTTATGTAATATATATATATATATATTTATTATTTTATGATATGCAGAAAATTATAAAATAAATTATAAATATAAAATACTTATTGTGCATAAAGTGCAGATCTTAACCTAAGTATGTATCTTTTTAATTATAATAAATCTTAAGTATTTTCTAAATCCCAGGTCAAAAAAAATAAACGAAATGAGAATAAACTTCGAGTAATAACCAAAATATAAAAAAACACAACAAGAGAAAAAATTGAAGATAAATAGGATTAACACGTGAACGTAAACTTCTCATAACCATAATTAATTTTTAAATTGTTAAATCATGATATAAAATAGAGTTAATTTGTTAATTTGTTAATTTTTTAATTTTTTAAATCATTATGGTTATGTTAAATCATGACAATAATTAATTTTAAATTCTTTATTTATATTTGAAAAACTTAAAATATTGTTTTTAAAAATAAATTAAAATTTAACTTAATTTTTTATAAAATTATTTAAAAATAATAATTTGTAAAAAAATATAATTTTCTAATATTATTATACAAATAAATAAATTATATTAAATTAGTTTTCAAACTTTATATATTTTAAATGCAATTATTTTACCAACTGCTTCTTAAAAAAACATTAGGAAATTTGCTAATACTCTACCAATCAAATCCAATGACACTCTGTTTATTTTCCATAACTCTAACACTAAAAAGTGAAAAGATATATGAAATCGGGTCCATTAAATTCTAAGATTTGATCTACAGTTCTAATTACAATTGTCTATGATCCTACGTATAGATAATTATTTAAAAATTCTAAAATTTCAAATACATATAAAAACAATTATATGTAAATTTTAAATTTATCAATACTAAAATTTTATATTTTAATTACGTATATTCACCCGGCGCAAGGCGCAGGTTATAATGTAAATGAACACTGAAAACAACCTAACACTATTAAAATGAGAATATCCTTCACTCTAAATTTGTCCACGTCAAATTGAAAATTCAGACCAATCAGAAAGCTTAAATGTCCATGTCACGTTTTCTTTAGCCATGTTTTTCCTGAAAAATATTTGAGAATCGATATCTCCCCTTCCTTCCCGACTCTCTGCGTAATGCTTTTTTCGCCATCCTCTGCCTCCACGTATGTTCTTCTATTCCCTAGAATCTTTGCTCCATATTTCTCCACCCTCGCACGATCTATGTTCATGTACTTTCCATCTCTAGTACCGTCTCTAACGAATCCTCTTCTCTTTTTAGATCTACAAATTATTTACTTTCTCATCATCTCGTGGCTTTAATATTGGTGCAGTTTAAATGATCGAAAGGTGAAGACGCACTACAAGAAAACTCGTTCATTACTAGGACGGGTTTTCCTCGTTATTTCCTAGTAAATGGCCATTTACTAGGAAATAACGAGGAAACGCGTTTCCTCGAAATACGTTCATCGTAAAGCCATTTTCCTCGTAAGGTCCTAGCAAATTTACGAGGAAACGTTTCTTCGTAAAGGCGTGGTTAGCTTTTCCTCGTAAGGTCCTCGTAGGCTTTCCTCGTAAGCTCGTGTAAGCTTTTCCGCGTAAGATCGTAGTAATAGATTACGAGGAACTTACAGAACCAGTTACGAGGACATTACGTGGAAACCTTTACGAGGATTTTGCTTCGAAATGTTTTTTTCCCTATTAAAAAATAATTATAAATAATTATTTTATTTTTAAAAAATAAAAAAAATCAAATTATAAATAAAAAATAAAAAACAAAATATTTTATAAATAACTAAATAATATACAAAAAAATTTTAAATTCATAATATACAATTAAAATAAAAATAAAACTACGGATACTGGTCGTGAAATTGCTGAACGAACTCGTCGTCCTGGCTCGGCAAATCCTCTCCATAGTTGGTTGCCGGCTCTGACTGTGATGGTGGATGCTGTTGGGTTTGAATCCCTCCACGTTCCCGTCTCTGACGCAACATCTCCTGCAAATGCGGGTTTCCAACCACCATAATGTCGAGGACATCGGTGAGAGAAGTCACATGCTCGATGAGCGAACTCACATGAGACCGCGTCGCCTGCAACTCCGTCGCCTGCAACTCCGAGCGCAGCTGAGCATTGACATCGTGCTGCTCCTGATGAGAAGACGATGTCGCTGCAGGGACATCGTTAACCGATCCAATCCCGATGATACGCGCCTTTTTCCTAGGGGCGACTTGTAAATAAAAATATTAATAACATTAAGAAAAAAATTTAAAAAATATTAAAAATTAATAGTAAAACAAATTATTTACCTCCTCGTAAATCTTATCCACGTCAACAGTGGATAATATGACTGGAGTCCCAGTCTGTTGAGTCAGCTGGGTCTGGCGTTCGTCAACTCCGGCAACAAGCTCGTTGTAGATCCGCTCGGAAGCAGGATCTACAAACTGCTCAGCCTTGTTCCGGTGGGTCCTCTCGTAAAGGTCTTTCAGAGATGGAAGAACTCAAGTCTCCTTAGCCTAAAATTAATTTATAAAATTAAATATTACTTTGGAATATTCAAATAAAATAAAAATTAAATTGTTATTAAAAATCATCTTACTATGTCTAGACGAACTCCCCCATGAGGTTTTCGACCCGTGGTGTGAAGCACCTTCGTGTTGCCATGCTCGTCTTTGGTCATGCGGTTCCCGGAGTTTGTGTTGGAGGTTCAGACCGAGTCCGGCAACCCCCAATAGCTGATGAGGCCATCCCACACCGTGGTTGTGAGGCAATCGGGTTTCCCGGCCTCGTAACCATCCAGCTGATTTAAAAAAAAATAGAATTAAAGTCAATATATAATATTTTTAAAACTATATGTGTATTACAATTTATAAATCTATACATGATAGTCTCCCTTCCAGTTGTAGACCATGTCGAGCAATCGTGCTCTTGCCTTGGCCTCAAACTCCTTCTTCACCCGCTGGTGAATCCCAGTAGACCAACGATACTTTTGCTGTAACCAGAAAAAATAAAAGACGGATTAGTTCAATAATATTAATAATTTTAAATAATTAAAAATAAATTAACGAATTAAACTTACAGCGAACGATTTGAACCACGTCTTTTTTGTGTGGCTCGCCGTCATCTTCCAGTTTGGAGCTGGATCGGGAAAGTATCCCTTTATACAGTCCGTGACGCTAGATCCGACACAATTGTCAAGACCAAACCTGAAAAGACACAAAATAAATCATTAATTAGATTAATTTCTAAATATTTTGTTAATTAAGAAATAAATTTAAAAAACTTTTTTAAAAATTAAAACATACCATAATACGTTTTGGTCGTCCCGTCGGATAGGATCTAACTCTGCCAGCCCTTCTCTGCCTGGAAGGGCCAAAATATCCTCCACCGTGTACACCGCAAAGGGTGCGTTCGGCGGCACCTGCAAATTGGGATGAACCCCAACCGGTGGAGGAGGAGGAGGAGGAGGTGGTTGCCGGGACGCCGTAGAAGCTCCCTGAGTCTCGGGACTCGAAGATGAACTGGGAGCTGACGAAGATGAACCCGGAGCATCCGGACGCCCAAACATATCTCCGTAGTGACTCCCCTCGAGAGACGTCGTCCTCTTACCAGCAGCCTTAGCAAACTTGCTCTGTCTAGGCATCTAGATTTAAAAAAAAAAAAAATCAAAACATTAATTCCCCAAATAATTTAAAAAAAACACTAAATAAAATCAACATAATCTAAATTACCTAAACTAACCACCTAATCTAAATTCCATAAACTAACCACCTAATCTAAATTCCCTAAACTATCCACCTAATCTAAATTCCCTAATCTAATCACCTAACTACGAATTAGAGAGAACCTTTAGAGGATTTAGAGAGAAGGTTACTAGCAAATGAGAAACCGGATTGCTCGAGTATATAAGGAATTTTGTTTCTTCGTAAAGCCCTAGTAATGTTACTAGGACCTTACAAGGAAATAGCTATGCTCGTGTTTTTATTTCCTCGTAAGGTCCTCGTAATGGCTGTACTAGGGCTTTACGAGGAAAACCCTTTACGAGGAAATAGCTATGCCCGCGTTTTTTTCCTCGTAAAGCCCTAGTT